AGTTACAGCTTGCACGGACGGACGGACAGACGGACAGACAGACATCCGGATTTCAACTCTACTCGTCACCCTGATCACTTTGGTATATATAACCCTATGTCTGACTGTTTTAGTTTTAGGACTTAAAAACAACCGTTATGTGAACAAAACTATAATACTCTCTTTAGCAACTTTGTTGCGAGAGTATAAATATGTTTTACCATTTTGGGCTGGGAACTTTTCAACTGGCAATGTTACAAATCAATTCACCATCATTCTGATCATATTTCGTTCTCTGTATACATTTCGTTCCTAAAAATTTTAAATTAATTTGCGAATTATTCTTTCCCAATACTCCAACTTCTACATTCATCTGGCACCTCGCGAAATTTATACGTTTCTATGCAATTTACTTCCAGGATGGTATATGTATGTGTGTGTATAAAATAAAAGAGAGAGTTCACAAACTGATAAAACGGGATTTTCCTCTGCACTGCCAGAACTACTAAAATACACGCCTGCGGTGAGTCAACACGGTAGTTAAACAATAACTCGCCTGCCGCGCAGGCAGGACAGCAATCACAAGGAAAGACGCGCTGCGGAGGGCGTGGCAGCATGCTATGATTAACGCGGGTACTTGCAATTTTTGCTGTCGCAACGCTGTCTCTGCCCTGCGGCGTTCGCGCACAATTAGAGCGCACATTTCAATAATACCACCCCGGTCCACGCCCGAAAAACAACGGCAGCGCAGTAGCAACTTTTTAATGATGCCAACGGTCGGTAACCAGTGGATGGCAGCTTCCTTTTGTTCTCATTACTTAATTTTTCGCCCTCTTCTTCTCTTACCACAAAACTTGTGTCTATGTAGACGGTGTTAAATAGTTAGCGGTGTTGGTAATTGGCCGCTGCTGCTGTCAGTACGGTTGAGTGTACCCGTCTCCACAGCCAACCCGCAACGTTGTCCACAATGTTTTACCCAGGGATGTTTGAATTAAATCGGATTTCATGAATATTGATTGATTACGCTTACCCTGAAAAAACGGGAACTAACAAACGGTGATCAGGTTAAAGTTCACTTTAGAGCAACACCTTATTTAATCACTTTAAAAATATGGTCAAGAGTTTTAATTTAATCMATAGGGATTGGTGAAGCTTAAAGGTATAGCGTATCTGAAGAAATATTCTTGTACATCTATTAAAGATAATTTGCATTCAAGCTTTAAAAAATTAAATATATTTGGGAATAGTTTCTAAAAATCTGTTACAGCCAGCTTTAAATTATATTCCCTTAATTGGGCGGACATATTTTCAKCTACATCGAACACACTTTCGAAATGAGACGTCTAGTTCTGTCACCGCAACTGCGAAAGGAAAAGCGACGTGAATCATTGCAATAGATGGATTTTAATAATACACAATGTCGAACAATCAATCTTCACTAGAGCACACAACTTAGTTGCTTTATAAATTTGACCCATTTCCAAATGGCATGGGTTTAGGTTAAAATTAAACGAATTTCTAATACATCATATCAATCCACGGTTGCCACACAGTTTTACCTTCATAATTCATAAAAGGAAAATAAGCATTTTGTCAACAAAAAGCAGAGAGGTGCACAAAACAGCGAATCATCAATTTTCTTTCAAGCATTTTTTTCATTAATAGTACCATAACCGAGATGGATGAAAGACGGATACGTTGTAAAAAACCGACGTTGTGTGACACGAAGTGGCAAGCCAAACGCCCCATCAGGATTTAATTCAATTCCCGTCTGTCTTTTCAAATAATACTCTACACTTAATACATACGGTGAGAGCCACCTACGCAACACCGGTTGAAGGAAATTTAGAAAAATTTAAATAAATACAAATAAGATCACTATGCCGCAGGCAATGTAGTGTGACCGCCTGCCAAGCAGCGGCAGCAAGGCACAGACAGCCGGCGACATGGACGTTGCAACACTGAAAGTTGTAGAAACAAAAGTGGAAGGAGTAACTTGCAGGAAGTGCGTTGGCAGCTAGCGGAAGTGGCAACAAATGCCGGCAACGTCACAGCGCTACGGCCACAGTCATCGTGCGCGCCACCGCAATGACAAAGGACGACAACACCAACAACACCAACAACAACGGCAACAGCAACAGCAAGAACTTAAGGCGAAACAATGGCAACAGGATTTGCCTTCACACAGTCACTCTTTCATATTTTTTCTACGCTTTTTTTCGCCAGTCAGCTTTCACGTCTATTCAGCTTGCGGCTTTCTTTGTTTCACTTCCTTGATGTGCTGCTTGGGTCTTTGCAGCGAAATCCAAGGCATATGCCTGACAATAAGACAGCCGCAGAAAGAAACAGCAATAACAACGGCGATATTTGTAACAGACGCTGGCATATAAATGCGTCGAGGAGTTTTTGTGTACAACTTCAACATGTATTACGCCGTTTCAGTGTCAACGTTTGATAAGCAAGACTGAGTGGTTGACTGAATGAGTGAGTGATTTCAATAYATTCGCCTTCTCTTGAAATTTTGTAGGATCTTTCTGCATCAGCTCCTCCGCCTCTAAGCCATCATTGCCGCTACGTTGCTTTCCTTAAACAGTACAGCAACTTCTTAGCGTTGTGTTTGGCTTGCGTTCCTTCCCACTCCTGCTCCTGCTACAGCTACAACTACTTGCAACACTGTATGCCAATCGTTCGTTGACTTGTACTGTTGGAATATCCGAGTTGGTTTCCCAGCTGTTTCCGTCTTCCTGTTGTAGCGCAGGCACCCAGACGGGCTGTTGAACTAAATATTTTTATATTTACTTGTTTTTGTTTTGTTCTCGCTTGTTTTGGTTTTAGGTATCCTTTCTCCCTCCTAGCGCAATTTTGTGGTGTTTATTTTACTCAAGCTGTTCTGCGCGACGGCAACACCACGGTACAGAGCATTCCTTCAACATCAACAGAATCTGCATATTATTGCTAAG